ACAATCAGCTGTTTTTGCTCAAGTCTACGACAGACCCTTGTCGTCCGAAGGCGTTTTTGCAGCAGCTGTTCTAGGTTAAGTTATCTGTAAGAGTTCCTAGCCAGTACTATGTTACTATTAATACTTTTTGCTGATGTCGCCTTCCTTTTCTTAAACATCTACAGTAAGTGATTATGAAGGCGGGACAGGAGTATAATTAATCGATCAAACGAACTGAATAGTGAAGTTCGATCGTAATTATACGATCTGTCCCGCCTGAAATGATCACTCCCTCCTCGCCCGAATCTTCCGCGGGTGCATTGTTCCCGGATCATTTCTGCGACATCACCTATTCTCTCCAGCTTTGAAGTAATGACCTCGACGGTGTTGACAGTCAGAGCTGCCACCTGAAAGTGATGGCGGGAAGTTGAAAATTTTCAACTTTCTTTAAACGTGTGAGACTCGAGACTACAATAGTGGTACTACAGTAAGTGATCATTTCAGGCGGGACAGATCGTATAATTACGATTGAACTTCACTATTCAGTTCGTTTGATCGATTAATTTTAGGCGAAAATACAAAAAATGCAAGGCTATCCATTATAAAGTTGAATTTATTAGATTACGAAAAATGGCAAAAATTGCTAACTAACCGTGACTACGACGATTATCTGAACAGTGTAAGTCAATCGCTGTGTAAGGATCCAACGAAATTTTGGGACTTTGTTCGTGCTAAGAGTGGAAAAACTCGAATACCTGGTGTTCTCACGTTGGAAGGAACCGAACTTTCCAACCCTTTAGATATTGTCTCAGGCTTTGCAAAATATTTTCAGAGTGTATATAACACTTCGTCTGCGGGTACTTCTGTCTCCTCTGATAGTATGGCAGTGCCTGCGTCCTGCGTGCATCTTTCAAACATAGACAAGTTGGACGTTGAAAAGGCTCTGCACATGCTCAAACCGAAGCACACTTTTGGTACTGATCAAATTCCATATTATCTGGTCAAAGATTGTCGTGCTACTTTAGTCGAACCCTTAACTTACCTATTTAACCTGTCGCTTAAAACTCAAACATTTCCTAATGATTGGAAATTGGCCAAAATATGTCCGGTTTTAAAGTCTGGTGACAATAGCCTTATCGAAAATTACAGGCCTGTTGCTGTACTTTCAGTTTTTTCTAAGGTTTTTGAAACAATCATTTATAATAGAATATTTCCGTCAATAAAATCTATGATTACTCCCTATCAGCATGGTTTTTTCCCTGGGCGTTCAACTCTAACAAATCTTGTATCCTTCACACAATTCGTAGCGGAACACCTTGATAAGAAGCAGCAGGTTGATTGTATATACTTGGACTTGTCTAAGGCGTTTGATACCATTAACCATTCCATTGCTCTCAGGCGGTTAGGAAATTTTGGTTTTAGTGATGCGCTCATCCAATTCTTTGATTCGTATCTTTCCGATCGGAAGCAAACAGTTGTTTATAATGGATTCAAATCTTCCTATTTTTCTCAAACGTCGGGCGTACCTCAAGGCTCAACTCTAGGACCATTAATATTTCTAATATACATCAACGATCTGCACTCAGTGATACGCAATAGGGTCTTGTTTTATGCAGATGATATAAAGATTTTCAATGTAGTCAATGCCTTCGAAGATACGCTATCATTGCAGGTGGATGGCGATGCCTATATATGGGTGGTGCACTGACAATGATTTTGTGGTGAACATGAAGAAGACTGCAGTTTTAACATTTAAGCGCACCAACAAATCAGTCCACTTTGACTACTGCTTAAAAGGTGTGAACTTGCAACGTACAACTGAAATGCGGGATCTAGGTGTAACATTTGACAGTATCTTATCTTTCCACCCACATATAAATAATCTAGTAGCGTCTTCTCTTAAACTTTTAGGTTTTATTGTCAGAACATGTAGGTGCTTGAGTAATCCTGTAGCCCTAAGGACTTTATATATGGCACTTGTTCGTTCCAAGTTAGAGTACCGCTCCCTAATATGGTCTCCCTATTATGCTTATCAAAAATTAAATCTTGAAAACGTTCAGCGAAAATTGGCAAAACATTTATTTTATCTTAGCACAGGTACCTTTCCCTCTAGAGGTTTTGATCATAAGGAGCTTTTAAATTCGTGTTCACTAGATACCCTAGAATGTCGATATAAAATGTCTGCAATAAAATTTTTATATAAGGTCCTTCATAACGATATAGATGCCATTTACATAATTGGCTGCCTATGTATCAATGTACCCCGTTTACATAGTCGCTATCACTGTACATTTAATTGTCCCAGAGCTCGTTCAAATGTTCTTTTTAATGCTCCAATATATAAATTGTCGCAAACTGCTAACAGCCTTGGCGAAGAAGTTGACATTTATGTGTCGCCCCTTAAGCAAATAATGCAAAATGTGCGTGATGTTTTTGCATAGTTAGTTTCATAATAGTTAGACTAATTAAGTTAGTATTTTTTTTTTAAGTTTAGTTTAATTTAATTTAATTTAATACAATTTAGACCTCAGAATTAACTGTAATTTGCCCTGTAACTGGATGTAAGTCTGTTGGGCAATAAACCATTATTATTATTATTATTATTATTACTAGTGCATTCATCCACGCGCCCATGGGTGACTTCGGCCTCTGAGTTTCCCAGTTGTCCGTGATGATTCCAACGAGTTCAGGATCGATCGTCGCCCTCAAAGTTGGAGTTCATCACATTGGGTTAGGGCCGTCCATCTGAGAACACAGAACTTACCTACCGTTGGCATCATGTCCAGCCCCGTGGAACTGCGTGGTTGTCGTGGCGGGTGTAAGGCAGTGGAATCCGTGAACCACATTATGTGACCTACGATACCCGAATTCATCGACTTGATGCCTTGGTAAAGAAATCTAATATCTTAGTCTACCTTAAATCTAGTTTAACATCTTAATTAAAATCTTTATTGTATATTATATACAGTCCTCCTTGGAGGTTTATTTATGAATTAGGTACTATAAGTAACTGGTGTAAGGTACTATAGTCCTAGGAAATTTCTTTTAACATCTTTTTACCTGTTTTCGACACTGTTATTGTATTGGTCTTAGCAAACCAGGAAATAATTTATTTTATTGTAGGTTCCAAATAAAGTTTGTAACGAAGCGAATTTTCGCGAGCCGGAAACCGTGACGCGTACCGCGAGAGCCGGGGGTAAATTCGCGATCGCCGCGCCGCCGCGGCTAAAGAAGAGGATTCTGGCCTGAAACTCCAAGGAGTGCGGAAGTGCTGGGGCTGTTTTTTTGGGTTTGTGATTTTGAGAAGTGTGGCAGAAGTGCGCAGCTCGACCCTCCGACCACCGTAAGTACCTTTTTGGGTCGCCTGCCTGTTTTGTACCGGTTTTGGAATCGCCGCCCCCGAGCGAGAAACCGTGTCACCGTCACCGGTTTTTTTTGTTGTCGCTGTCACAAGTCGTAACCGTCGTGCACGCGTTGTTACCGTCACCGCGCTCCCCTCCCAGGTCACCGTGCCGTCTTCTCGCGATTTCCAGATTCAAGGTCGCCGTCTCCAAGTCCAGGAGGAGCCCGTCCTGAAGGAAGTCGCCTCCCAGGAGGAACGACCGTGCCGGACATTTAATTCGTTTCGTTTATTTTTGTTTGTGAAACCGAATTCTTAGTTATTTAAGTTGTTCAGCCGTAAGATTTATTATTTTAGACCGTGTAGCTGGTGGCAGGGAATAAACCCTATTTATTGTAAAATATCTCTGGCCGTTTTGTTTTGTTTATTCTCGCGATTTCGCGGAGGCTCACCACCTAAATTTCGTGTCTCCGGCTTTAGAAGACCCCGGCGCTCCCTCCCCCGGAGAGGGGGCTGGCGCCCGAGAGACCGCCGCTCCTGACCGAAGGCGCCACCCCCGGCGGCGTGAAGGTAGCCGCATAAGCTTGGTCGACCAGACGTGTTTCTGACATCAGCGATACTAGTCGACCCTAAGCTTGGCACCGAAGTACGCCGCCACCCCATACGTTATCGGCGAGATTCCGGACCGTCACCGGACCGTCCGTCCTCTCCGGAGTTTCGTCGCAAGTTATTACTAGCCTTATGACCTTTTTTCTAGACTGTTTTAAATAACTTATCAGCAATCTTGTTTCTTCTTGTAGCTTCTTAGTAAAATCTTCATTTATCCATATATTCATAACTTTTAGTTCATTTGTTTGTTCTAATACCTCTATTTTCATTTACCTCATTTAGTACCAGGGGTCTTAATTCTTCTAGTTTATACCTTCTCATTCTTCTAACATTACTTATTTATATAACAGGGTCTATTACCGCTCCCATTTTCTCCATTACTCTTAACACGCCGATTAGAATTATAAATATTCGTGTTTCATTTCCTGCTACCAGCACAAAGTCAAATAAGAAAATTTTCAGACTGATTAAAGAGGAAACTTTTGGTAGGTAACAGCTCCTCCTTTGACCTGCTGCTTCGGATCCTGGGGAGGCGGGTTTGCTGAAATGTTGATGGTACGGGTACAAAAAAAAGAGAAGTGGAAATTATGATGGAAATTTTAGGAGAGCATTAACGTTGTTATTAGTGTTACACTTGCCACAAATAAGTAATTGATTTGTTTTATCAAAAATTTATTTTTTTTAATTTAAAAATTTGTGACTTGTTCTCAAAATATTGTAAGTTAATCTTTTTGTCTAACTTTTTCAGTTACTTTGAGAGAATAATATTTATATTGTGTACAGAAAAATTAACATATAAAATATTAACATACAAAAAAGAACTCAATAAAAGGACAAAGTTATTGCAGTAACGTAAATAAGTGACTTTCAAAAAACGTTTAGAGTGTAATAAGTGTAGATAAAATGATAAACTGTATTTGTTTAGGACAGTAAATTCTTTGGGTAGCTATTTAATTTAATAATACACCCAAACTGACGCACCACGGAACCTGATAAAAATTAACAGTAGGATTAGAAAAAGTTATAAAATGTTATTGAGGTAGTAACGTAAAATGCCACCAATAATGACAAACTGAACAAATGAATATCTAAGGTTTTAAAATTTCATACGTTTTTTGACCAAGAGTTGCTACACCATCAAAATGAAATATTCATTGTATATTAGTTCCATCTGTTTCCTTTGGGGTTTAACAGCTTCTGGTAGCATAAGTACAAGTCGAATCGTGGAAACAGAAATCATATAATTCATCATTAACATTATTTCCAGAACCAAGGATAATTGGTGGAATTTCGGCTTACGCAGGACAATATCCTTATGCAGCAGCCATTAATGTGCAAACAGGAACCAGTAAGTTCTTTTGTGGTGGTACCCTTATTGACAGTCAATGGGTTCTTACAGCTGGCCAGTGTGTGGATGGGTATGACCCTAACAATTTTCGAATAAACCGACCTATAAAATACACCCTTTTAGAGCTATTTTATTCACTATACAGCTAGGTTCGCACAAACTCGAGGGTGACGATCCGTACAGAGTAACTGTAGCAACATCTCACTCTGTTCTTCACCCCGACTATAATCCTCTGACGCTGGAAAATGATATAGGACTCATCGAACTTCGAATCCCAGTAGAATATTCTCGTATGAATAAGTAAAGTTATCGCCACTTTAACCCATTTTTGATGATTTGCAGACACTCTGAACAAAATCACATATTTCGCCTTTAATATTACTGAACCCAGAGACATGTGGGCAATTGGGTGGGGTCAAATAAGCGATGGTACGTAAGATTTAAAATCAACTAATAAATGTATGCAAAAATATTTTAGACAGTCCTGAACTTGACAATGAATTGCAAACTGTCGATGTTGCGCCTTTAACTACCGAAGAGTGCAGAATTTATTATGGGAACCAAATAAGCGACAATACAGTTTGTGTAGAAGGAAATTACAATGAAGGAACCTGCTACGTAAGTTCTTATTTTTCGTATAGTGTGTAAACGTTAATATTTATTACACTTTTTTTTAGGGCGATACTGGTAGTCCACTTGTCGTAGATCTTGGTCGTGGTTACAAGTCTGTTGGTGGTGTAGCAAGTTTCGTTAGCGGCAATGGTTGTGAAAGTACTGAACCATCAGGATATCTAAGAACTGCACCATATGAATCTTGGATAAAAAATGTCACTGGTCTTTAATTTTTAATGTATTATGTGCATGTTCCGGGGAATGATAAGTGAATATTTGTAGGAATTTAAAGGTTAAGTTTAGATATAAATGTATCATAAATAACTATTAAAGTTATAAAATATACTGCATGTGATAGATGTGTTATCTTTAAGTGGTTAGTCTCAAGTGTTTAAGAAACACAATATAGCAATAAAAATAATTTTATCATATCTCTAATAATATGGAAAATATGTCATTATTTTTAAAACCAAAAAACTTCGAACTTACTTAAGTGTCTTTTATATATATATAACACATTTAAAAATGTTAGAAAATTTTCACTAACTGAATATTTTTGTTGTAACTACTTCCACACTTATATCTCAAACCGTCTGTCAATAAATTTTTGGTCGTTTCTTGTCTTGCGTTCCTTTAAGGAAGATCCCGTTTCTCCTACCTTTTCTGTTGCATTATACTATTCTGACTTTGATAATTTTAAGTGTGATGCTTAAGTACATTATACTTGACATTTTTAATAATAATTTAAGTAGTTTGTTGATACGCAACTATTTCTAGTCCGGGTACGATAATTGTTGAGATGTGGGTAAGATTTTTTCAACGACAAAAAATTATCTGCGCCACAAACAATGAAACAATTTAGTCGCTATTAATCGATAAGCGATGAAACAGATTTCAGCTAATGTTTTTTGTTATGTAAATCCTAAAAGCTAAAATAAAAATAGTCATGAATTATATTAAACTACAAGTGTTATATCTACATTTTAAGTGATAAATCCATGTAAAATAAATTTATAATAACAGCACTATGTGGTTAGAATTTCGGAAAAATAATAAAAAAGTTTAGTAATGAATTCATAAACTGTTTCATTCTTTAACTTTTTGACTTTACACTTCCTCTGTAAACAAGGTGAAAATTAAAAATAAGGTTGCACGAATACACTACAAATATAGAAAACATATCATTTTTCCTGTTTAAAGTTAAATTATTTTAAGTTATATTAGTTTAGGATTCTTTTGCAAAATTTTGAGATGATGTAATCAAATTTTTGGTGGGATGGAATATATAAATTTTGGTCAGCATTTACTATTATCAGGATATTCTTAAAATATGTGTAAAATTTAACAACAATTATTGTTTTTGAAGCTGAATTATCTAGCCTACTGACGACGGAGAAACGTAAATGGGGAGCTTACTTTTTCATATACTAGGAACAATGAAATGTAGCAAAAAATTGAAATTCGCTGTTCATCAAATAATACTCATCAAATAATATACTATTCCCGAGTATCGGTCCTAAAAAAGCGTACTAAATTGACGCTTCACACGTAGTGTAACCTATTTCGTTCATAGTGGTTTATTATTTTTAAATCGTATAACTCTTGATCGTTACTTATTATTTTATTACTTTTTCTTTTTTTTAAAACAGCAGTTTAACGTCTATAAAATATTTAGACAGAATTTCCCCTCGTTCCTTACACACGGTGCAGTATATCCAGCTTTTTCAGTAGGGAAATTATAAAATTGATTTTTCGAATTTTATTCATTAATTTTTCTTTTCTAATAAAGATGTAAAGTATGTACAGATAGCGTTTAAAACAACGTAAGGAAACATTATATACGTATATTTGAAGGTAAAAAAATTATAATATTAATAAACAAAATCAAGTCGGATTCATAAACTACCAGTACAGGAGAATGTTATTTTATAAAATTTATTTATTTACGAACCAAAATTTTGGAGTGAACTTATCAAATTATTGGTGGGGTTAATTAGATAAATACTGGTTATCATTTTACCATCTAAACAATACTCCTAACATCCACATAAAATTTGACAACAATCAGTCCTGTGGTATCGGAGATTATCTGTCTAATGAAAATCGTTACAGACGATAGACGACAAAGGACAGACGACAGACGACAGATGACAGAGAGAAAGTAACTATTAATCGGATGAACCCTATAACAATACATCCTTAGTTTAAGTAAAAAAAAAAAATAAAAACGAAAATCAATTTATGCTTAAACTAAGGAATCGTGCGTGAATAAATGAAGATAGGTATATTTTCTTTGATAAATACTTATTTTATGAGTTGTCATTCGTTTAGACTTCAAAAACTTACGTACTTCTTGGTTTCCCGTATTAGTTCCTTCTCATTCTTATTCCCTGAACTAAGCTTTTTGAAAGAGTAAAACTTTAACCTGTAGACCTTTGATAATATTTCAACAGTCTACTTCCTCTGAGACTTTCAAATTTCCCTCCATATCTACTCCTTCAAGTCCCTTATTTGACAGGGTTATTCTTACTAATAATTTTGTTCTACCTTATTCATTACATATGTTTATATGTTTTTAATTTCTGGACAATTTAGTTGTTTTTTCTGGCCATTATTTTCATCACCATATATTTTAAATATTTAGGACAAATGGGACAACTTCATGGACAGTACCCATGGTTCAAAAACGAGGTTGGACTGTCTCAGATTTGAAAATGAGTTTCACGTTTTGACGTTCACACAGAAAATTAAATTTTCTTATAGTTAGAAAAACCAGAATGTTGGGGGAAGGGAGCGGAAGTTCGATGAGAAATCTATATCAATGTGCTTGAATTTCCATCACTATTCCGAATTTCGCACTAGGTATTCATGTAAATTAATAAAAAAATTGAGGAAGACAAAATCTCTTCGGGTCTTTTATCCAGTAATTTTTTTAAATGCTTTCGTACTCTAGTTGTTCCATTTCGTCCTAGACATATAGGATATAAACTCAAACTGTTCATCAGGACTATGCTGAATCGATCATTTATAAAAATCTTGTTTGTAAGTAATCTTTCTTAGCTTCCTCTATTTGGAATTAAGTTGACAGGCTCCCAGAATTTCGTCTTTTTTAGCATATCGGAGGGATCGGTTGATGGCTGAAAATTTTCACTTTTTGGACAATGTTTGCTATTTTCAAATATGTATTTCACATTATTTTTCTGAATTAGTAGATTATATGCTTCGATTTTCCTTTTTTCTTTTGTTGGTGCATTCTCTTTATTCCTGAAGGTATCTTTTTATATTTCTTCTTCCTCCCCGGTTGGAGCTGTTTCATCGTTTTAAATTTTGCCGTTTTTCTTCATTGTAGGTCATTTGTGAAAAAAGTCCCCTACCTACTTATTCTTCCATCTTCCCATGTTCAATGCTTCTTTTTTGGTCTTTCCTGTTCTTATTTTTTCCTAGACAAAACCCATTTGTCATTTTATAATAGTCCCTCCTTCCTTAAATTTCATATTTCCTGTTTTTTTTTCCTGTATATACAGGATGAGCCACTAAACGCGCGATATTTCAGTAATTACTAGAAACAGATAAAAGTTAAAGATTAAAGTTGTACGGTTCTTTGAGGATTGTACACTAAAATTATTTTCGAGTACAGGGTTTTCTGCTTTTAAGACGTAACATATATTTTGATTTTGTCAAATTAAGTACTCTATATATTTTTACATATTTTGATTGACTTCTTCTTAGGTTTTAAAGACACAGTTTATTTTTGAAATTATGAAGCAACGTTGCCACGTTAATCAAATTTAACTAAATTTTTTTAGCGATGGAAAAGTTTTTCATTACTGCATCCTATTTTGTTTTCAGTTCTTTTTCTTTTTTGTTCAGAGTTTTCTACATTTAAAGTTGATAGTTACTGCGATTTTATACTTTTTTTAGAGGCACATCCACATTCCAAGAGAGAGAACGAAAAATAGAATAAAATGCAGTAACAAAATGCATAGTATTCTATTCGAAAAAACTGGAATATCAGTATTTAAAAATTGTAATTATTTCCTGCAAAATATTACATAAATACATTCGCAAAAAACATTCAAGAAAATTGCATACAGTGGGAACATTGCATCATTATTTCAAAAATAAATTGTGGTTATAAAACTCAGAAGGGTATATGTCAAAAAAAGCATAGGGCAATATATAAAAAAAAAACACGTGTTGTATAGTGCCTCAAAAACAAAACATTATAGTCGAAAATAATTTTAATCTACACGAGTCAAAGAACAGTGCAACTTTAATCTGTGACTTATTTCTGTCTCTAATAAATTAATAATATACTATAAAGTCCCGAAACGATTGAATAACTTCGTTATTTGAAAAGCTTTTTTTTGTAAATTTGGTGTGGATATATAGTTAAACATGACGACTTGACTACAATATTGTTACGAAATAAACCCACACGCCGCCTCGGTACGACGCCTATGGACCGTCGAAAACTTTTCTGGTCTTGCGCCGATGATGATTCATCCTCAATGCGACCGAGCGACGGAGTAGTAAAGAAACGCCCGGAAGCGGAAGTCGCGAACGGCAATCCAGAAAAATCCCGATCGCGCATATCCAAAAGGAAGTGTGGTTTTTAAATAGAGGCCACCTTCGGGAACGATTATTATTCAGTCAGTGAGTCTAGTCAGCAAGTAGAGTCAAGTGAACCACACTCGCTGTAATAGTTAGTGGTGTAAGTCGAGTTATTAAGAAATAAATTGTTGAGTTTTACCCACACCAATTTTAATCACCCGTTTAACGTAACAATATTTTTCCTTTTTTTATCGGTTTGATGAACATGTTGATAATTTGTGAAATTAGTTTTTTATGCTGCATCAGAACATGTCAAAAAATCTGGGTATTCCATTAAAAAAAAGTAGGCGGCCCTGTCTATCAAACCGAGAGCGATAACAAAAGGAAAAATATTGTAATCAAGTCACCATGTTTAACTATGTATATGTATGTTTTTTAAAAAATAGCAGTGTATCAGATTTAACGTGGTTTATGTTACATGGTAATGGTAAGAGCATTTAGAAAAATTACACTAACAAATAATAACAGAAGAGAGTTTAAAATTATTTTTATTTATTTATGTATAAATTAAATATGTACAAAAGATCAGTCAAAAATCTCAATTAACAAAATATCTAAAATCAATCACAAAAAAAAAATGATGGAATTCCTATAACATTCGATTATTATCTACACCTCCTGTCACACTAAATATCCAGTCTATATAAGGAAACGTTCTTGTGTACCCTGAAGGCTCAATGCCTTCACAACTAACACCACTATGAAACGTTGCAATCCCAATGACAATCGGATGACGAGAGTCCAAAAAATAAACTAAGGGGCTGCCACTGTCTCCTGTGCAGATACCTTCAATATTCTGTCCAGCCACACATATCATACTATCAGTTATCTGCGATCCATAGTAAATCTTACATTCTTCATTTGACAGAGTTATCATTTCCACGTAATTCAGACGATCCTCAGGACCTGCCTGACCTAGCAAAAACAAAAATAAAATAAAATGTATCATCGACAGAAAAATTCGATCCTACTGTCACTAGTTTGTCCCCATCCAATTGCAGTAACACTTTTATCAGCCCCATATGCAACTATAGGTAGATGAATTTTATCAATATATTCTAAAAATGCTCTATTAATAATTTCAGTTTTTGTAAGACTAGAGAATCTTAACTCACCAGTGTACTCAATGTCCTGTCGGAATTCAATCAAGGCAATATCGTTTTCGAACGTAGTTGTGTTAAAGTCGGGATGAAGAACATAGTTGGAAGTACTCAAAATTAAGCGATTGCTGTCCTCTTCTGTTAAATAAATTGATCCTACGGTAATATTAAGAATCGTGGCACTGGAATATCAAATTAAAAATATGTAATTATTCTGCAAGACATTAAAATTACTTTTGTATGCAATGGGCAGCTGTTAGAACCCATCGAGTACTGATTAAAGCTCCTCCACAAAATATAGAACTGTCAGTAGTTGCAACACGAATAGCGACAGCAAAAGGAAATTGACCTGCTCTTGCTTGGAGTCCACCAATAATACGATCACCTAGAATTCAAGAGGATCATTATCATTTCTAAGATAATATCTAATTTACCTTGATTTTCTTCACCAAGAGATTTTGTTTTTGAATTCGTGTAAGATTCTGCTGGAACTGTCCAAACCAGAGGCAAGCACGCAATGGTCAGCACCAATAATTTCATTTTGTTTATTAGAATGTTGACTAGTTGCTGTTAGTATTTATACCACCTTATGGCTACAAAAAATTTTATCTATTTTTATTCTTGATTGCAGATAGGAATGAATGATGGGATTTTTTCGCATTCATTCATCACTCTAGTTAGATAATTTTAGTTGTAGGAACAAAAGATTTGTTTTATTGGGAAATTTCCTTCGTGGTTTCTATTGTATTTGGTTTTCATTCATGTTAGCTTTGATTGATTGGACAGGAACTATTTTTCGGATTTAAAATATTTTTAAAGGAAAGTAGGACCTAATCTAGATCAACAAATTTTAACGTAAATCTTTATGATGTGAGCGTGTAGTATAATAATTATCACAAAATACAGTAATAATAATTACTAATAAATTTCACCACTAAATAAAGTAGTGATAGTGAATCATTATAGAATGGTGCAATTTTTAGTATCCATGCAATAATAATACGACACATGTTTTTTTTTGCTGTACCTCATTTCCAATGAATCTGATACTATGTCTAGAGTTTTGTAAACTGCAAACAGTGGTGGAAACCACATTCCGAAATTTCCATAAATAATTATCATATTGATTTGAAAAAATAGGTCATGCAAAAACTTCAACAAAATCTAAAGAAATATATATCTATATACAAAAATGTTATAAAAAAGTACCCTCGTATTGTATAGTGAAAGTCGTAGACTGGTTATATTTAAAATATCATAACAATAGGTCTGTCAATAATGAGATAATGGTGTGTGTGCTTGCTATGTGTGTATTTCTGGTGTTACACTTATGTTTTCCAAAAAAATAGTAACTCATTCAAAATTTCTTATCTCCAGTTTCGGTGAAGTAAGTTAGAATTAAGTTTGTGACATTTAATGTCATTTTATGCAAAAAAAGTTTAATTGGTTGTCGCATCATGACCAGTAATCGATTTAATGTTTCTTTACCAAAAATATACCTTGTATCTAGTATACAGGATGTCCCAACCGATGGAAAAGTAAAACAATTATTTTCAAACACAAAAGGTGTTGCATTTAAAAGTTACACACTAAAGTTGATTTGTTTAAAGTGGGCATCAGGTATAGTTTTGGAAATTGCATTCTACCCTATAAAATTTTATTGACGATAACGAGACAGACAGTAGTACAATGGTAAGAAATATTTATGGGTCACACCAGTTCACTCGAATTTGTCTGAGAACATTTAGCAGGTAGTTGTAAAATAATGGTCATTTCCGTTCATGAGTAACGATGGTCCCTGTCCGGACCTGGATTATTCTGCATTCTAACATCTGGGGATTACCGGCACCCGACAACTTAAGTTGTAAATATCTCTTGCTATTGTACTACTGTCCGTCTCGTTATTGCCAATAAAATTTTCTAGGGTACAATGAAATTTCCAAAACTATACAATGTTTTTTCATCACCAATTATCAGAAAATTTGCAAACTTACATAAAAAAATTCTAAAGAGCTTCAAAAATGGAGATGGAAACTTGGGATTTTGCACAAAACTTTTAAATCACCTGAACTCAAGATAGTGTAAAAAGGTAAACAATATTTCACCTTATTGTGTGTGAAGATAAACTTTTTAAAAATTCAGTATCAAAAGAAAACTCGAGAATATAAATATATTATAATTATAAAATACATACGAGAACGTCAAAAAAGAGGTAAATACAGAGTACCTAGTACAAGTTAGAAAAACATAAATAAATATGAACAAATTGAAATTCACAACAAGTACATTTAGCGCCCCAGCAAATATATTTCAAAAAGAAATACATATATAATTTTCAAGAAAATCTGCGTCAGAATCCAAAAACAATAATCATAAAAATGTTTATTCTAAGGCTTTTAAAAAACAATGACTTAAATAATTGAATATTCATTTTTTTTTTGTTACCATTATATACAGGCTGAGTTACTAAGTGTACGCTCCTCGATATCTAATTAATTATTAGAAATAGAAAAAAATCAAAAAGTAGTTTGTTTCAAATGAAATACCCTATATATTTTTACATGTTCTGATGAGCTTCTTCTTAGGCTTTATAACCATGATTTACTTCTATAATTTTTTTGGAATTTTTTAGCGATGGAAGGGTTTAAAACAATCACAATAGAGTTATTTTTAAAAACAGGTGTTACAATATTTTGTTGAGAGATAAATACAGATGCTTTGTTGTGTATAAGTAAAATTGAGTATTAGTGTACAGAGCGTTCATAAAAAAAATAAAATATTAATAATCGATATATCAGTTTTTTCAAATATTTCATTTTTTGTGGTGTTTCTTCTTTGTTAAGTATTTTCTATATTTAATACTAATAGCTATTGCAATTTTAATTTTTTTAAGAAATATACCAACATATTAAAAGAAAAAGAACAAAAAATAGAGTAAAATTGAAATATCGACGTTTGAAAAGCGTAAAGTTTTAGAATTTTTTTATATACATCTTAAAAATAACGGTATAGAGTTTTTTTTGTGTGAATTTTAAAAATAAGCTGTGCTTATAAAACATAGGAAGAGACTAATGAGAATATGCAAAAACATATAGGTGCTCTATTTAAGAAAAACTAAGTTGCGTGTTCTACCTCAGAAACAAAACACTCTGTATAGTCGAAAATAACTTTAATGTATGCTGCTCAAACTTTAGTATGTGAGTTTTTTTTATCTCCAAATTAGTGATACATTCAGGACTGCGCGTTTAATGATTCACCCTGTACATATTATTTTTTACTGATGTGTTTGTATTGAGGTCATCTAAATTCTACTTTGTCAAAGACATTTCAAATAACTTTCCTTGTGGAGCATCATTTTTAAAAATTCATTATTTTCAAATTTTGTTCAAATTAAAAATATACAGGGTGAGTCACTAACTGTGGGATTCTCATTATCTACTTTTTATTAGATATAGAAAAGAAGTTACAGACTTACCGTTCTTTGAGTAACATGCACTAAAATTATTTTCGACTATACAAAGTATTTGTTTCAAGCAAAGCACACAACTTTGTTTTTTTAACAGAACATGTTCCTGAGATTTATAACCATAGTTTGTTTTTAATATTCCTATTTGATATTGCCAATTTTTGAAATTTTTTTAATTTTCTTAGGACAAGGGTTCACAAAAAATCTTAATTTTTTCTTTCAATGTGTCTCTCTTAAAAAATAGAAAAGCAATATTTATCAACTTCAAATAAAGAAAATACTTAACAAAAGAGAAAAAGAACAGAAAACACGCAGTAATAAAAAACAAACAGTTGTATTTGAAAAATGCAAAATACATATCAATTTTTGAACTCTGTACCAATGTAAAAAATTTTATAAACACTCTATATATCAAGATTGAATTTTATCTACATCACAACGAAGCGTGTACCTTTATTTTATTATCTACAAAGTATTGTAACTCTTCAGTTAATAAAAAAAATCAAGTTAATTGGAACATAGTGACATCATCGCATCAGAATTTCAACAATAAATTGTGTTATGAAGTCTAAGAGGAGGTCAATCAGATTATGTAAAATTATTTATTTAAAAACCTAAGTTGTGGCCACAAGAAACGTACAACTTTATTTTTTTAACTTTTTTTTTATTTCTAATACTAATTAATGAAATATCCAGTGACTCACCCTGTATATATTACATACTAGACATATCGTTACTAATTCTTTGGCGAAAAATTGCTGACAAATGCCATCTTCATAATACAATACATTCTAAAATTTCATTCACTCTGCACGATTTTCAAAGAGTGTTTGTCTGATGGAATCCACGAAACACAGATAACTGAAAAACTTGGATCTTTGCTTTCTATGAAATATTAAACTTTAAAAAAATATGAGATTAAAATTTGTGATTACTTTAGTAAACAGTTTCTTCGAAAAGGATGCAATCCAACAAGAGTTTAATAATTGTGGCATTGATAGAAAACTAATCCTTTTTGTCCGCATTCAGGCGAAATGAATAAATAAATTAACAACTATGTATAAAAACTAAAGTTTACTTACTCAACTGCAGTCACATATAAATTATTCAACGTCATGTGTAAGCCGATGTTACTATTTTCTGCACTTCAAAATTAAAATTTACATCCATTAACCAACTAAGATAGTACTGCACATAGTTACATCGATAAAACTCTTATATTCCTTCAGATTATAATACATTGTCACTTTGCATACCATGATAACATTGTCGGTACTAATCTGAGTACGTTTTGAATGGAATACTAGCATTTGTTCCGATTGATTATCTTTCGAGATGCTGTTATTCAATGAAGAGTCACTTCAATTAAAATGTTTAGATAATACTTATCGTCATTAAGAATGCTTTGTGTAAATAAAACACATTTTTTTTAATTTGTTGTATTTTCGATTACTGTAACCAAGTTAACAAAAATTACAAAATACTTGTTACGCTTTTTATCCAATCTACATAGGGATAAGTTCTCGTAAAACCAGAAGGATCAGTGCTTTCGCAGCCATTTCCACTGACGAAACTTGCAACTGCGACGACTGTGGCTTTTTGATTGAGAGCATATTGGATCAAAGGACTACCACTGTCTCCCTAAACATAAAAAAGGATCAAAGTTTAAACTTGATACCGTTTTTACTTACGTTGCAAGTTCCTTGATTATAATTTCCTTCAGCACAAACCATATCGTCTATAATTGCTGCCCCATAAGTAAGTCGACATTCTTCGTTACTTAAGGTAGTGATAGTAACTCTGTTTAGATCACTAACGGTAGCAGCTTCGTCTAAATAAATAAAACGCTAAAAAAAGATATTTAATTTCTAGCCAGTTTCTTACCATCAGAGGTCTGACCCCACCCAATAGCTACAACAGCCGTGTAGTCATTTACTGGTGCTGTTGGTAACAAAATAGGTTGGATATAATCTGAAACACGAAAATTAAATCGAATTACTTTCACACTGGAATATAGTACTTGTGTATTCAATGGGCATTCGAAGCTTGATAAGGCCGATATCGTGCTGCAGGGTGAAGGCATCATATTCTGGAGCTAGGATGTATTCTTCAGCAGCAACAGTAAGCCGATTGGGACCATTATCTTGTAGATTATTTATTCCTAGGACAATGGTAAATCTAAGAGCATCCTCACAGCATTGCGCTGCAGTCAAAACCCATTGATTGTTCACAAGAGCACCTCCACATAAATATTGTCCATCGCTAGTGTGAATATGAACAGCGGCAGCGAAAGGAAATTCTCCAGCTCTTGCATTGGTACCACCAATAATGCGAGTACTTCTCTAAAGACAGTCGGTGCCAATTGTTTTTTTTTAATATATCATATAAAACTACGTACCGACAAGACGGAAGACAACGATGCTGAGAGAACGTAGATGACAATAAAACCAAAGAACTTCATTTTGTTTGATATTCGTGTTAAATATAAAACTGAAAATTTAGAGTTAGTTTCACTTTATATTAACACTTGTTATCTTCGTTTTATGGTTTAACTAGTGCTATTCAGGCTTACTTTTGGAAAAAAATGTAGACGAAACAACTTGAGGAAGTAAGGCAATTCTGATAAAATTTTTAAAAATTGTTATCATTACTTATTACATCCGTTTCGGAAAAGAAAAACACATTTATTGCGGTTAAGTGACATACAAAAATATGGCTTATTAAGGTCCTGTATTGAAATTTTAGTACCAAGTAGTGAATCTGTACCTACTATTGCAATTTAAATTATTACTATGGTTTATGGTGTTTGTTAATTATTAATTAAAGTAATTGATTGAAGAAGCTTACAAAGATAACCTTATTATGTTGAAAGTAATAATCTTATAATCTTCTATCAACACGTGATTTTTTCGAGTGTGGGTACTTAGAAAACTTTTATCTTTCAACGACGAACACACTAAAATATTTGGGTGACCTTCAAGTGTGTGTATCCAACTTCATAACGTTTAATGAAGCATCTGAGATGCATTCAAATCAATTATTATTTTCTTTCGATTATAGCTAAGATAATTTTATTTTAATTTGAAATAGTTCTTCAATTTTTTACTTGTTAGCTTTGACTACAAATAACTAACAAAAAAAATCATGCTTCAACATTGAATATAATGACTATCTACCTTGCCTGAAGCATCATTAATGCCAGCGAAGGAAAATCTGAAATATTTCGATTTCACTATATCTGACCCGACTAGAATTTTCAGAATGAGGATCAACTAAAAGTTTTCATCTAGATGGGAATATTAGCTGACTACAGAAAACCCATAAATAAAAATGTTTCATCACACAGAAGGAAAAAGGGATGAAAATCGATCGGTCTGTGGAATGGTTGGTTTTAAACAGGTTAAACAACATTAACAAACGCTGCCCTAAAATCAGTAAGAAAAAAACTTGTGTCGTAAAAGTTGCTTAGCGTTTATTTTTACTAAATCTCAGTTTCAACAAATACAGTCGAAAATAGATCTGGTAAGATTTCTAAAGTTTCGCAAACTGAAAACAGTGGTGAAAACTGGGTTCCAAAGTTTCCATAAATAATTGCAATATTGATTTTTAAAATATGTGCTATAAAAATTTCAATAAAAATAATATATTATAATAAACCGTCTAAAAAACTTCCCTAGAGTGTGTTAAGAATGAAGATATTACATATTGACAACACCATAAGAGCCATACGAAGCGATGCCTCTTAAGTACGATTTTCAGTCGTTACAAATTTATTTGAAATTAATTTTGGCATATTAACTATTACGTCTTCTTCAGGAAAAATATCTTCTTCTATATTTTTTCAAATCTTCCTGTTCCCTTAATTTTTTTTGTTTTTGTTTTTGTTCTTAACTATTCTTCTTTTCCTAATCTTAAAATGTGTAAAATGTATTATAAATTTTTTTGTTTCATTCTTGTGCTAGTGAAGTTATGTTTTACTTCGATACAGATATAGAGATAAGATGCAGTGAATATAAAAATGTCAGGTGCACTTTTTCACATCATGGAAGATTTTTTCCATTTTATCAGTAATATTGTTTTGTTGTATGGAACTGATGATAGATATCAATTATAATACTAATGCTGCCTGTTGCTATACATGAGAAGATATTTTACTGGTTGATACATTTCATTGTGAATCCTTGCTGAACTAATATGTCACTTACAAAATCATATAAAAAATATTTTTTATTAAATAAAAATTATTATTTCAATTCCACCACTGACAGTTCTTTATTAAGTATTCTACAGTACGGTATATACATAGAATTGCTATTGTTTTATTATTTTAGAAATATATACTGGCGGATTACTATACTTTCGAAATGAATGAAGAGCTAATCTTACTTCTTACTTTAGATTTGTTTTGCCTACCAAAATGGTCAGAAACCTCAAACTTACGTCTAACCAAAAAATTTTAGTTTTATTAAAACGCAATACTGCTGGCCTCGTTGACAAAATAAATCTAAAATGCAGAATGATAATAATGATTTATAATAATCGCATTTAATTTATATCATTTATCATTAATGAATTGATCGTTTGGAATTTGTACCCAAGCAACCCATGTTTAGGGGTTAATATCAGGGCTTTATTTTGATCATAGCAGGATATTTATAACGCAACTTTTATCAAATCATTTGGATAATAAGTGCATAATCTTTAACGACATCCGGTGGATCTTTTGTAACAATTATTTATAATCCAGTTCGAGTACTTTATTGAGTGTCTAAAACATTACAGCAAATTAATAATAATTTCTTCCTACGAATGGTTTTAAAAGTTGGCTTTTCATTCGTCAAAAATGTATATACTGTTACAAAATAAACCCATACGCCCCCCTGGTACGACCCCTATGGGTTTTCTTATATGTGCGACGATGATGGATGACTCATCATCGGTGACGGCCACCGGGCGACGTTCGTATAAAGGCTCCAGAAAAACCTCTAAGCGGCGTTCACGAACCATCTAGAGGAATGTATGGGTTTAAATAGAGGCCACCTAGCACAATGGGAGAAGTAGAGTGTAGTCAAATCCATTCCAGTCGAGTCTGAATTATTCTGGACATAATCACTGTATAGTTAGTTATTCGTGTAAATTTAAGTTACTAAAAAATACATTTTTGAGTTTTACCCACGCCGATTTTAAATCACCGATCGACGTAACAATACTTTAAAAGTGAAGCAACATATTCTAATCGTAAATAATGCCACAAGTGCTTTAGAATTATAGGAGAAACTTTTATTTATTTATGATCTTTTCTTTGTTAGTTTGATTGAACGAAATTGCTAAAACGTAACAGGGTTTGAGCGTTTTAAAATAAAAGTTTTAGGTCAGTGCCGAGCACAAAAAAATTTAGAAGAGGATGCAAAAGAAAGAAAATATAACAAAAATAAAAGAAAACATAATTTACGGGCGATCTGAGGTCGGGAAGTGGAAGAGGGTGAGCTTTAAATGGTAGAAAACGGTTTATCACGATTTCCGGCAAAACTACAAGTCCTATCGAAAAAAGTTAAATGGCAAAGTTGTAGGTAATAAAAAGATCTACAACTTTTGTATTTAGACTTTTTTTGCATAACCTCAAAATTTATGCGAAAATTGCAAATAACCGAGTTTTTGGATTTTAATTTTTATCTCCCACAAAAAAAAATTTCACGAAATTTGGTGAAAACTTACCTATTTATGTCCCAAACTCACTGTAATTTTTTTTATTCAAAATATTTATTTTTCTCCCTTATTTTGATTTAATATCGAAAAACCACCCTAATTTTCAATTGAAAATTCTAACGTCAAAATGTTTGCTTTTTAAAAAAAATCCGTGTGCTTTTTGTTCGTTGAAATCTCTAGTTTCTGATGCTGTAAAAAAAGTATACATTACTATGGCAAATTTTCGCAGGAAATCCAAAAAAACGAAAAAACTCGAATTCGAAAATTTTTTTAATCATGTAAAATTTTGAGATATTTATTAAAATTTACACTTTAATCACTCGAAAAAAGTAAGATTCCATGTTACACTGATAAACCAAAAAATTGAAAATCCATGAAACAAACGCCTTTTGTTGGTGGGAGATTTGTCAATATGAAAGATGCTTTTATTCTTGCCAATTGATTTTCGAAATCTTAATTGATTCAGTGTTATATTGTCATTTTTACATTTATAAATATATTTGATTAATTGTAATCCATGTTTTTGCGATAACTTCTTTGTTTGCATGTTTTTTATAAAAAATATTGGCCAAATTTAACAAATTTTTATCGTCTAACTAGCAGACTCAGCAAACGTGGTTTTGCCATATAAATTATTTCTAGTGAATATTTTAGTAGTTAAATAAAAAATTAAATTAAAATAAATAAATAAATTATAATTAAATTAAATTATAAATTCTACATAAAAATTTATCGTACGACAATGATTATATTCAACAGTCATCTTGCAACTCCATTGCAAGATGGCTGTGGGGTGGCCCACCCAAATTTTTTTGGGTGGGCCACCCTTATCACCTAGGGATATAAAAAATGGTTTACGACCTATTCTCAGACCTACCGAATATAGACAGGAAATTTCATAAAAATCAGTCAAGCCGTTTCGGGGGAGTTTGGTTACACACACTGTGACACTAGAATTTTATATACTTATTAGAAGACAATGAATTTACGATGTTTTTCTTTAATTGATTCAAAAGGACCAAAAGATCAATACCTTGACCCACAATTATGACAGTTTTATTAGTATCTCTGGCACTTTCTATCGAGATCTTAATTATGTCAGCATCAGCATCTTCTTCTGCTTGTTTACAGGAAAATCCTTGTGACTGTAGATTCCAAAAGTTTCTTTTAAATAAGTCAATTCGTCACGATTCATTCTTCTGATGGGCTAAAATTTTCCGTAGGCCATTCAAGTATATAAGTTATCTTAAAATAGCAATAAATAGGCACCTATGCATATTATTTAAAAATTATCCTACAACTTTAACAAAATATTGTAGATGTCTTATAAAGTATTAAGTTTATTAACCTATTTTGTTAATTATAGTAGTATATTTCGATTTGCAACTTTTTAATTTATCAATGTAACATGGAATCTTACGTTTTTCGAGTAATTAACGTGTAAATTTTAATAAATAGCTGCAAATTTTACATAATAATTAAGAAAGAACTTTTTGAATTCGAGTTTCTTGTGAAAATTTGCCGTAGTAATGTATAATTTTTTTACACCATCAGAAAATAGAGATTTCAGCGAACAGAAAGCACACCGATATTTTTAAAAAAGCAAACATTTTGACGTGAGAATTTTCGATTGAAAATTAGGGTAGTTTTTCGATATTAAATCAAAATAAGGCGAAAAAATAAATATTTTGAATAAAAAAAATTACATTGAGTTTGGGACATAAATAGGTAAATTTTCACCAAATTTCGCGAAAAAAAAATTTTTTTTGGGAGATAAAAATAAAAAACCAAAAACTCGGTTATTTGCATTTTTCGCATAAATTTTGAGGCTATGTAAAGAAAGTGTGAATACAAAAGTTGTAGATCTTTTTATTGCCTATAACTTTGCTGTTAACTTTTTGCGATAGAACTTGTAGTTTTGCCGGAAATCGTGATAAACCGTTTCCTACCCTTAAAAGGTCCCCCTCTGCCACTTCCCGACCTCAGATCGCCCGTAAATTATTTTTCCTTTTGTTTTTGTTATATGTTCTTCCTTTTCCAATGGGTATCATCCTGTTTTAATTTTTTTCACTTTTTACCATTTTCAAAGGCTTCGGCACTGGCCTATTTTCCGTGGTAATTCTAAACCACCATTTTGCACGATTATTTTATGAAAAAATTTACTCGAAGCACTTTAGCAACTTCATGATGGTAATACAACCAGCATATGAAAAAAAGATTTGCTACAGAAAGACAATGTCAACTACTTTATTAGATAGCATATATCACAAATGTGTAAATACTGGTTCTGATCATATCAAATCCGAATCGATACTGTTGGTGGACGATTGTAAAAATACATTTAGTAGTATGAAGACCATTGGTACATTGTGCTGACAGGATTCAGTCATTTGTTGGTGGATTAAGAAAATGAGACAACAAAAAAGTTCCTAGTAAAGTAAATCAGAAAGCCTAAGATCTGTTCAATACACACGCTATTATCACAGAAACGCTCTGTCTATGATGAGTAATTTTATGAAACATGTGGTATGACACAATATGTGTAGTGGTCACTTACAAAAGATGTTCTGGATAAATCGTGGACTGAAAATGTGACTTAAAGTTTTGTAATAATTTATGTAGGTTGGTTTTGGGAGAAAAATACTAAGTACTGGAAGGAAAAGATACAAGATGATATTAATTTAGGGATGCTTACTGCTCATTGATTTATAACATTACTAGGCTTCGGATCTTGGGTTTTCTGCCTTTTTATATCTACTTCAGGCATTGCAGCGAAATTTATATATTTATCCGAATTTAAAAAAATCTGTTATTTAACGCCCATTTATGATTAATTTACCGTTAGAGACCAACCAAAAGTGTTAATTAAACAACCTAATTGTAAATTTTAAAAGGCTTAGAATAGGATTCCACGACCAACGAAGCGGACGTGTTTGCATAATAGAGATTTTCCGTGAATTCATTGCTTTGGCTGGCAGATTGTTTAAAAATGGGTTGTAAACAACGCCTTTGAGTTTAATGGTACGGGTTGGTGTCGCCAACTGATAACGCTATCCAAAAAACATGAATGGAATGATAAATCACAAGAAGAGACCCATCATATTTTATACAATTTAGATAGGATTTATTCAGCCAAATTTTGAGGTGACGTCATCAATTTTTTACAGGGGATAAGTAAATATATTGTGATTAAAACGGTCCTGGTTTAATAACAAAAAAATATTGTTCCTCTATAAAACAAGCTCGTCTTAGACAAAGTATTCGTAAAAAAATATGTCGTAAAAAAATTTACGTACGCTGGCCTCGACTGCGATTATAGTTTAAATATTTTTTAGAAAATCCTGTCATGGATGTAGAAACATTTGTGACAGCCAAAGAGGTTTTTTTGAGAAAATTATCTTTGAATTTAGACCAAATTGAAATAGACACTAGGCAACAGGCACATTTGGGCAAAAGAAAAAGAAATTAGGGTTACAGCTTCAAATTTTAGACGTATTTACAAACTTAGACAGACTACAGCAATAGCTAAAACTGTGGAGTCTCTACTGTACAGTACATTTAGAGGTAATAGTCATACATACTATGGACAGCAAAGTGAGGAAAAAGCTGTCAAGTGTTTTGAAATAAATAAAAATATAAAAACTGAACGGTGTGGCTTGTTTATTTCAAAACAATTGCCTTCCTTGGCTGCTAGTCCAGACAGGGTTCTAGAGGATAGGAGTGCATTAGTCGAAATTAAATACCCTTCAAAATCGCAAGATTTGTCTCCCGAAGAAGCGGTTAGAAAAAAAAATAATCAAATTTTGTACATTGACACACATTGAAACTAAAAAAAATCATGATTACTACTTTCAAGTCCAGGGACAAATGCTTGTTACGGGTATTTCACAAGTTTATTTTGTTGTATGGACACCCAAAGGAATAAATATAGAAAAAAAATTATAAAGACGAAGAAATACATGTAAAAAGATGGCAGATAAACTTGGCAGATTTTACTTTGGCGCATTATTGCCCCAAATTATTGATTCAAGAAGAAAGAGGACCCTGCCTTTGCGAGAAATTTTTTTAAAATAAATAAAATTTGTTTCTATTTTTTTATGTACTTTAATAATTTATTAGGAGTACATTTTTCATCACCAAGACTTGCATATTTTTATTATAAATATATTTTGAAAATGATCGCTCGGCAAATGAAAACATGTACGAGCACTTTTTTCGAGTAAACAATGAAGGGAGAAGTTACTGGGCGTAGGGCTTTTTTAAAACACCTCCTTTCTGGGATAAGTAGTAGATACACTTAGCTACTTATACGTGTTAATCAAAAGCTCTATTTTATATATTTTTTATTATTATTATAAATATGTTTATTAGTTTTATTAATTAACAAAGCAAAATATATATTAACAATAATATTACAACCAATTTTTAGTAATCATGTGTATTGAATTCAGGATCCTGCGTGGAGTAAAAATATTATAGTTCCCCAGTTTTAATTCGGTTTTATGATAGTACCTCATTGCGTAAAAGTTAATTTCCTTAACAATAGATTACTACGGCCGGTCCTCGTGGCTTGTTATAAAACTTAGTTCCTTGTTATAAATTAGAAAAATCAGCCGAGAACTCTACCAATCAGCTAATGGTAGAGCAGGCGATAAGGGTCTTACTCGCTTCCGTAAATTTTAGTGGCGCTCCTATCGGCAAAGTACTGAACTAACTGCTCAAATTCTGTCAAATTGATACCCATTTTTTTCAATAATTGTTAGTTTTTGTTAAAAACTGCTAACCAATAGATCATCAATTTTCCTCTGATATTCCTGTTAAAATTATTCCACGTATTTTGCATTAATTTGTAGTATATTTTGATTTTAATAAACACATTATTATTTAAACAAATTGTACCACTAACAAACATTTAATGATTCTGCGCCCTGTAAAAAGTGATATTTTATCCATATGCGAGTTTTCAAGCGATTCTATGATGGTTATGACTCAAAAAACTTGAAAAGAAAACATACAATGGTGATTTTTTACGATATTTCTCAGCCATATTTTTTTAGTTAATTGAACTGGTCTCTGCGCTCTAGAATATGAAAAAAGCTGCAGTTTGATGTATGATACATCTATATTAATATCATTTTTTCATATAAAAAATCAAAAAATGTTATACCTCGTCTAGCGAGTCCCCTTAAGTGACTTCCATACTTTTTAGCAAGCCGGGATATAGAATCTTTTGATATTTCTGTCAGGATTTACTATTATTTGTTCTCAGTTTAGGTGTTCGAAAAATGCATATATTTAGATACATAAATAAAAAACAGTTGTGAAAATGCTTTGAAGGCACGTAGCTGTATTGATTATATCTATCAAAATTTTATGTCATTCACAATAAAAAGAGTTAAGCTGCTATCACGCTGTTGATCCATTCAACGTAAGGTATTATCCTGGTGTACCCTGAAGGATCCGTGGTTTCGCAACCTGACTGGCTTCTGAAACTTGCTATCCCAACCAAAACTGCAGAACCACTTACAGTTTGAAGCAAAGGTCCACCCATATCTCCCTAAAGAAACATGTTTTTATTAGTTAGTAAAAAAAATACATATATAAAAAATTACTAACATTGCAAATTCCTTCGTTAAAGTTTCCAGCAACACACAACATATCATGTGTGATTTGTGGACCATAGGTTAGTTGACATTCGTCGTGAGAAATAGTAGTCAGTGTTACCCAAGTTAGATCATTGGACAGACCTGTGTTAACTAAAAACAACAATCAAATCTACACCGTATTATAAATTTGGTCAACATGGTGTACTTACAGTCATCTATTTGGCCCCACCCGACGGCAGTCACTGATGTGTAATCAGGAATAAAGCTGGTGGGTAAACTGGCGGCCCCAACATATTCTGCACACATAATGATATTAAATTTACCACTAGTCTCTTTGCAGTACTGTTACTACTTACGATTAAATGCTATTGGTAGTCGCAGTTTAACCAAAGCAACATCGTTGTGTAGTGTTTCTGGGTCATACTCAGGGTGCAAAACAAAAGTGGCAGTTGCCAAAGTTAGTCTATTGGCATCAGTTCCACTTAGCAGATTTGAACCCAATTGAATAGTAAATGTGTTGGCGCTAAAATACAAACTATGAAGTACCGACTAACTATAAAAATACACGTAGTTTTACCCTTCTGCACACTGAGCTGCTGTAACTATCCATTGATTGTTAATTAAAGCACCTCCACAGAAATATGCGCCTCCAACTTTTGAAACATAGACTGCTGCTGCGTATGGAAACTGGCCACCACGTGCCACTTGACCACCTACAATGCGTTCCTTCAAATGCTTTTAGTTAAAAACACAATAATATACAATGTGGTACTTACGCCAGGTTTGGCCAAGGCTAGCGACGCGAATGTCAAAAGTAGTACCAGAGATTTCATGTCTTAGCCTAATAAATTAGTATTACGTCTTTTGGATTCTTATTCGGGAATATTTGTATGTATGTGATAAAGCGGTATACAAAATGAGGAACGTAAGCACAAGTCACAAGATAAAAAAAATGTTCTGATCACTGAGCAGTAATAAACTTTGTCCTTGATCTGAAAGCTACTTATGCTTATGTCTGCTTAATTTTTATTTTGTAGAGGTTTAGCTGACTACTCATCAGTTAAAAGTTAATAGCGTGGCTTTATTTTAAGCTTGTGAGATATAATCAAAATTTTATCAGATGGATAATGTATAAGCTTTTCAAGCCACTTTGTGGATTTATTTCAAATGTTTTATTTACTTTAAAATGAACACCTAATTCTCCTTTTATCTTCTTTATCCTTAGAAAGATAGGTATTTGGTTTCATCATTTCCGAAATGTTTAGATAAAGGAGTGATGACTTATGAAGATATTTTTACTGACTTATTATACTGATTATTATTATTTAAGAAATTTTGAACACGAAGAAATTGATAATTGTATGATTTGAAATATTAAAATTTTAAGAAAAAATGCCAGAATATGCTTTATTCATTTTACTGTTTGTTTATTTATTTATATTGTAGCAAATATATATATGTACAAAATATAAAAAAAATGTCATAAAACATGATTTTCGGCATTTTTGATATAATTTAATTAACTCTTGTTTAAACTTTGCAGGATATTCTAATTTTCGAATAAAAAACAAGAAAAAGCATTCAAATCAATCAATACTGATCTATTGTTTTGCGTGAAAACTTACTCTAATACTACAAACTATGGTCATTTAGAATTTTATGTTGCGTATTTTACATGTATTTTTATTATTAAATTACGTTACATTTTGCAGGATATTCTAATTTTCGAATAAAAAACAAGAAAAAGCATTCAAATCAATCAATACTGATCTATTGTTTTGCGTGAAAACTTACTCTAATACTACAAACTATGGTCATTTAGAATTTTATGTTGCGTATTTTACATGTATTTTTATTATTAAAATACGTTACATTTTGGCAGAAATAGGATACGACGCTAAAAAATATTCAACTAGTGAAGACAGGAAGCTAAGGAAAAATTAAGCATGTTGCAAAAAAGAATATCGATGCTGCCATCTCTTATACAGTATTTGTAATATAATGTAAAAGACACAAGTAATCTACACGTTTATCTTTGTGTCCGAGAGATTCTATAAACTCCTTAGATTAGATTAAAATAATATTAACTTAGTGACGTATGTTCATGTTTCTAATGTTTTCTTTTTGTCCCTTATTTCTTAGTCTTGCCGTGTCGTTTTTATCAAGTCTTCGTCTATCTCTACATTCTGTCAATTTTATTATAACCAATTTTGACCATTTTCTTATTAATTGTTCTACTTTAGCTATGTTTTCTTTTTTTCTCTCTTACTATTTGTGTCACGTCTTCTTCACCTGCTTGTGTTTATTTTGCATGGCCACTTCTTTACCTTTTTGTTTCTACTTCCAAACGAGTATTGCAATAAAGTCCATAGGGCCACTGATTGCTTTCATGTGTTCTCGACGTTTCATAATTCCTACAGTACGAAAAATAGGTCTCACGTTTTCATCTGTCTGTCTGTCTATCTGCCTGTCGTCTCTCGTCTGTGTTGATATATTTTAGACGGATAATCTTCGAAACTACTGGACCAACGGTTGTCAAATTTTGTATGTAAGTACATTAGGAATATCATGTAGATGGACACTAACAAAATTTGGCTAATCATTCTCACCAAGAATTTCATGAAGTCAATTCAAGTTTTGCAGAGATATTTAATTTTATAAAATAATAAACTCTGTTTACAGTTTCTAGATCCATCTTGATTTTTTATTATTATTATAATTTTTATTTTATTTCATTCTGCCTTCCCCAAAATAATATTAAAGCCGTTTTGCTATAGTGTAAAATCAATCAAATTTCGTTTTCTTTTGACACAAATGCATACTTTGATCTACCACCGTTGCTGCTAGTTATCTGTACGTGCTTAATAGTCGAATTCTTTTAAAATATAAACATAAATAGTCAAGGCTAGGCATGTGCTACACATACATTTTGCTCGTTAGTTATCTGCTTTAAATATATTTCATAATATCCACACTTGTGCGTAATGCGTCCAAGTAACTTAGAAGCTGAGGGAGTGTTAATTACGCCTTATAAATTTATCTTTTATGATAAAAATATAAAAGTCTCACAATTAAATTTTATTTTTAATTATAGGGGTTATCACAAAATATATAAAAATCCAAATTTTAGCATTTTTTTAAACAATTGGATTTATTCAATTAGATTTACAGGGGGGGGGGGGAAGAACTTCTGTCTAAATAATCTTCGGCTACTTTTACTTCCCGAGCGTAAGCTAAGGAATTATTGTAATCGAGTTCATCAGGCGACTGCTACTTTTCTGTTTTCTCGACGTTTCATGGCAAGTACGAAAAAATAGGTCCCTTTTTGTCTGTTATCTATCTTTCCGTCGTCTATCTGTCCGGCGTCTGTCTGTCGGTTGTATGACGTTTGACTGTGTCGATTTTTATTAATTATCAGACAGATGATCTCCGTCGTTGAGGTTTTACCCTAGATTTCTGAAAAAAAAAATCAAAATTGTATAATAAGTAACATTTTGCAATTTAACTTTCAAACTGCAAAACCGATAGCTTTGCACACTTGCAACGTTTTAAGGTTACATTAAGCATAGTTAATCGTTACTCAAAATTTATCCCTTTATCCCCTTAATGATGTTGTCTCAAAATTTTGCCAAATAAATCCTATCTGGAATTTGCAAATATTGTGCACTCATAGTTTTTAGAATTACTTGTACAAGGTGAGTCAAAAAATTAATGAGTGAGGCAATTTATTTTATTACAAAAATCAGTCCATTTTCCCGAAGTTTTGGGAATACAGTAGTGCAATGTTGATGATTAATAAACAAAGAAGTAGCTATATCTGGTTCCAAAAATCTGTTTACAAACATACTCTCAAAGCTATCAACACTGCAATGAAAAAATTTAAGAAGATCGTGAAATACATGTAGGGTAGGTGGGCGGGGTAGAACTTGCTAAGATAAGACTGATTTTGGAACATGATGTACACTCTAAGGAAATAAAGGGTGGGTGGGCGGGGCTAGTATTTGCTAAGATAAGACTGATTTTGGCAAATGACATACCATCTAAAGAAATAGAGGGTGGGTGGGTGGGGCTAGAACTTGCTAATATAGGACTGATTTTCGAAGATGATGTACACTCAAGGGAGCGTAATAGTTTAGTGTATTTTCTCTAGAAACTTTCCCATTAATTTTTCAACAAGTTGATACCGTCTTTTAAATTTTCTCTTAGTTGCTTCACTTGCATCTAATACCACTTCTCACCATTTTAGAAAATGGTGTAACTAATCCTAGTCACAGGCCATATCTTGTTTGTTCGATTTAATCCGCATGAGTGTGAATTTTAGCAGGAGTTTGAATTATTGCAACATACCTTAAATGTTGCATCATGAATATATACAGGTGTGTTAAAACTACTTTAAAAAACATTACAAACAACAAAAGTCAATCTAAGCCCTCTTTGAACTCAGTCTTGAAATCTAAACTTCAAAAATATAGAGATAAAGAAATTGACAAAGTGGACAAAAATGTTTTTATTTGTATTTGACTTGGATTTCAAGTTCAAAATACACCACTAGTAATATTAGCGATCCAATCTAAGTACAAATACACTCTTGTGTATCCAGAAGGATGAGGTTCATCGCAACCATCACCACTTATAAAGCTTGCAACTCCGGCGAACCGAACACTTTGTGGATTGTAAATATGTTCAATCAGAGGACTTCCAGTATCTCCCTGAAAAACGTAATAGTTAATAATAATGATTACTTTAAACGAGTAACACTCACAAGACACGTTCCTTCGTTGTAGTTACCAGCAGCACAAACCATATCATCGCTGACTTGGTAACCGTAGACATTGGCACATTCTATATTGCTGATAGTTATTAAGCTTACGTATTGGAGATGATCTGAAAGCTCTGGTGTGGCTGAAAATTAAACATACAAATTTTAGGCTAAATAAAATTCTAGTTAATAATTAATAGTAACTGAAGAGTGGTACTTACCGTCATTGATTTGACCCCATCCGACTGCTGTCAAATGAGCATAAATAGGAATATCATTAGTTGGTAGTGCTATAGGTTGTATGTAACCTACAAAATAAATTCATTTTTAGTTTTACTGGTACAATGAGGTTTCCGACAGTCTTACTTGTTAGCTCTACAGGCATACGAAGCTTGATCAAGGCAATGTTGTGTTCAAGAGTCATTGGGTTGTACTCAGGATGTACAAAATATTGAGTAGTGGCTACTGTTACTCGATTTGGATCAGTACCAGAAAGAGTATTGGAACCCAAACGAATTGTGAACTGAAGAGCCCTAACACACATTTGTTTCCCTATTTCTTTTTTAACTACTTAATTTGCTCTTACCCGTCGGCACAATGCCCTGCTGTTACTATCCATTCGTTGCTAATAAGGGTGCCTCCGCAGAAGAAAGAGCCAGAGCTTCCTTGTGTGTAAACGGCGACTGAATAAGGAAATTGAGCAGAATATGCGTCAGTTCCTCCAACTATTCTTGCTGAAATAAAAAATAAAAATGATCGTTTGGGCAGTGAGAATAAGGGCCTGTACTTACCGGATTTACCACCTGAATTAATAGAATGTACCTGGAAAAAATTGTGTTTGGTATTTTTTAATAATAAATAGCTTAGAGTTTGTTCTTACTTGTTGGTATATACACCCAAGAAGAAAAATCGTTAACAGTGTGGAAGTCTTCATTTTTGTCTTTTTTTTTTCTTTTGGATCGCAAGTGGCGTCTGACTTGAAATTTTATTGGTATTGTATAGATTGGTTGGTTTATATCATTATTTTATCGGAATTAGTTTATAGCAGAGATTAATTCGTTTATTTCATTCGGCTTAAAACACGATAAAAAATTCTCTCCGGAAATTAGATTAACAACAATAGCAGGATATTGCAATAAATGCATTGTGTTTACTTATCATTTTAAAAATATATAGATCTGGCAGTCGTAAAATATAACCATAATACTGATTTTAAGCAAACACTGCGTCTTTTATACTAAGTACATATTTTGAAATTGTTTTAAAATGATGTAAAAGAAAGTAGCATAATTATGCCACATCTTTTGGTACCACCATCAAATATGATGTTATTCCTTGAAAATAAAACGCAGCTACAGATTTTTGGAGAATTGAGATTACCGTGTTTGACAGAATAATTGCAGCATTAACAGTAATACTGTGCTATTAATCTTCATAAAACAGCTCTAACGATATTCGGGGCGTTAAGAGGATGACACAAGTGGAGTTCAGAGGACGACGTTTCGAGGACATCTTCCACATAAACACATAAATAGAGAGCGGAAAATATGCAGCAAAATTTTGAGAAATATGATCATATGATATGCACCAAATTTATGCAAATATGTAGTAACTTTCTTAATATATGCAGACATATGCAGTTGCATATGCTCCAAAAATTAAAAAAAAAGCTCAATAAGCGAACTAAATTTATAAAATTCAAAAACAGGTTTCCCGAGCTTCCGTTTTATTACAAAAAATATATACATAAATCACATTGCAAAGTGTTTAATTACATCTCACTAACACATAAATCACGTTTTTAAAGATAATATTCTTATACTAAAAAATAAATATAAACAGATCAAATTAAAAAATAGTAGTAATCTTTAAACGCTTTCAATACAAACTCACGATGAAAAATAATAGTATACCGTCCCTTCGACCACCACTGAACGTAACTTAACTACCGAACAAAAATATTGGGAATGAACCGTATTTCCAAAAGTAATTAGGGCGCGAATTTACCTGGAAGGATGGCTTAACACCCAGTGGTGTCTCCAAACTACCATAAAACCCAAACCTTTTCTAGTTATTTGAAGCTCAGGACATATTTGCGATATGGTTCATAAAATCTCGTCTTTCTAGATAAATGCCGATAGAATGACATTTTTTTTTTTCAAATTAGCACAAAAATTGATAAAAATGCAAAATATGCACTCGTTCCGTGAAATATGCAACAGAAGGCAAATATATGCAAATATGCAATTTTTTTTATAGCTGTATTCATTTTTAATTAGCATGATTCGTTCACATATTAAATATGAAGACTTATATGCAAAAAATAACGGATATGCAAATTTCATAAAATCCGCTCTCTACACATAAACATAAATCTAGTCAAGGAAATTTAAAACCGCCATAGAAGTATCATAAAAATATTAACTTCAATAAAATATGGGAATTTTCGGAGCTTTATTTTATTATTTATCTATGGACAGCTTCTCAATCAATCAGAAATAATTGTTCAGGTAAATGAAGCAGTGATATTGTTAATAAAACTTTTGACTATGTTACAATAAAAGGAGACATTTTTAGGTCCCAAAATTGAGGAATTAGGTTATAAAAATCTTAGTTTAGGTTAAAAACCTGTAGGAAAAAATATTTGCTCAACGAAAAAGCATACATCAAAAAAATATGTATTTAAAAAAAACATTAGGTATAGAAACAAATGTTTTGTGTAACAAACAAAAAAATGATTAAATAAACAAACCATCTAGAGTTACGTCCACTAGTTCTAAGTTATCGCAAAAAAATGGCGATCAAATTAAAGCAGGTCCCATTTAACAAAAAATAAAATATTAATTCAGGTATTTAAAATGAGTTACAAAAGCAAACTATAGATTTCTCTAAATTTTCGATTGTAAATTTACAGCTTTGATGGCTTAAAACACAAGAAGTGATGGGTGCAAAATTAAATATTGAACAATCTACGTTTTGATTTATGTATGTATTGTTGGTGGCATTTCCATTACCGCAAATTACGTTATTTACTGAACATATAAAATCGTATCCTGGATTCTTTTTTAATAGAGAACATAATTTTTGGAACGCCATTTCCCCCACCTTTCCTGGTGTGTTTTTAAAGATGTATACACTTTTTCCACAATTTCCATACTTTGGTTTAATTTTAAACCTATAGTTTCTAATTGTTCTATTGCATCAGCAATAATTTTAAAGTGAGTTTTAATGTACAAGAGTTCATTTTTAACCTTTGCTTTATTCAGGAATTCTTGAGCTTTTTTAATGCTTTATGAATCTGTGGCATCAAGTGACATTACAACCTAAAAATATTCAATATAAGAATGATAGTAAAAAAAACCATTATATATTTACTGACTTGTTTTAAAACATCAAAGTGTTCTGCATAAAACAATGCTGCTTGAATCCAAGTGCCCCACCTGGTTAATACAGGTTCAGATGGGAGAGGTGTATTTGGTAAATTGTTTTTATACATCTCTACTCTTATTGGTGCTTAAAAAAATGTTTTTAACATTGCTAATTATCTCATTGACATTGTATAATTCAGTCTAATTGTTTCAGACACTAAATGTAACCCATGTGGCATGCATGTTAAGTGTGTTATATTTTCATAAAACACCTTCAAATTAGTACCAGTTTTGATCATGTATGAAACACCATCTGATACAAACTATTTAACTTTATTGTGTTCAGTTCTTTTTGGCCACAATAAAGCTACAAATTAACAATTAAATAAATTATAATAATTTCAATGCTTAAAATTATCAATAGCACACCCAAGGATTCGTTTATAAATCTGGAGATTGTGTTGCTATTAGTTTTATCAAGCTGTTTCAAAGGTAGTAGAAATGGAAGGCCAGTTTCTTCAGAAGACAACTTTCCACTTACTAAGTGGGGTATGCATCTTCCTAATCTGTCCGTCTTCTCATCGACGCCAATTTGTTTAATAACCTGTAAATTATAAAATTTATGTTAAAAAGTTTTTAATTAAAAATTCTAGTGCTCACCATATCGTAATCTTTTGGTAAATATTCTTTTTCTCAGAGTGCTTTCTGAGGGTAACTGCCTTCCTGTATATTTATGCGTAAAATTTTTAAACTCAGGACAACTAACTTTATTCCATGGAATATTTGCTGCGGTAAATGCCCTACATAAATCATTGTCGGAACTAATGTTTAATAAAGTCTGTTTACTGGATTTATTCTCGTTCTTTTTATGTGCATCGCCAATGCAGTGTTGTTCAAAGTGTGATTTTTTTTTCGCACTTTAACTAGGAAACAAAAATGTGAACATAATTCAAGCTTCAGTATTTTAAATGTTTACTTACAACTTTTCCACACACTTTGCAGAATAACTCATTGTCTTTGGTTGAAGAAGGAAATTGAAAATTAGTGTTCAAATTATTCCCTAACCATAATTTGATTTTATCTTTCATGGATGATTTTACCTTAGGCATTTTGAGGATTCTTTACTGTATGCACAAAAATCAAAACCGGCCCCAGCTCACTCACTAACACACAAAGATACTCAGTATCACTAACAATAAACTTCTAAAATAAAATGCTTTTTCAGAGATTCACCTCCTTCCAGCTATAATCTAAATGAAATGCAGGCCAGCGTTGTCAGTTGACGATGCCAACGCGTACCATTAAACTCAAGTGCGTTGTTTCCAACCCATTTTTAAACAATCTGCCAGCCAAAACAATGAATTCACGGAAAATCTATTGTGGAAGCATGTCCGCTTCGTTGGTCGTGGAATCCCATTTTAAGTCTTTTAAAATTTACAATTAGGTCGTTTAGTTAACACTTTAGGTCTCTAACTGTAGATTAGGCATTTTAGGTAGTAATAAATGGGCGTTAAATAAACAGATTTTTTTAAAATTCGGATAAATATATAAATTTCGCTGCAATGGCTGAAGTAGATATAAAAAGGCAAAAAACCTAAGATCCGAAGCCTATTGATAGCATCCCTGTTAAAAATGCCCAATCAAATCCAATATAACCCAATCTAAGTTAGATTGGACCAGATTGTGTTTGATTGGGTTAATTGGGATTCAATTTGAACTTATATTGGATTTGATTGGGCAAACACAATTAAGGGCTTTGATTGGATTTGACTGGATTTGATTGTGAAAATTGGAAATAATTGTGTATTACCAATAAAAACATCTAAAAAGCAAAATGTGATGTAATAAATACAATTTAGGTTTGGAGTGTGCTAGAACGTGCAAATGGAACATTTTATTTTATTTTATCACTAACATTGATGTCCCTAATATAAATAATTTTGTTGCTTTCTTTTAGATTCCAAAATGGCTTTGAGTTATCATTTACAATAAAATGCCGTAAAAGATAATTATTTATTATGAAAATAAAACGCTTATTGAAACGATTATAACGAAAAATAAAATTATTTGAAAAAAGCACCCCCTTCACGAATTGTATAAGTTGTTAACATTTTATTACCCGAGAACAAGGCTCGATAGAATTCTGAATCGATTACAAGAATATACATCTATATGCATATTCAAAAAAATTGCATAAATATGTTCTGCGTATTAGCAACCCCTATAAGGGGGTTGACGGAGAACGTAACTACCCACTTCGATGAGAAGTCGTAAAGAAACACATTACGCAACCATTTTGCATCCTACGGCAACGATACGGACCGTAGGTGCCTCAATATTACGTTTAAACGACGGTCACAGTGTCGCCCAATCTGGCCCAATCAAATACAATCCCAAATTGGGGGCGCCCAATCAAACCCAATCTCCGAATAATTCGCACGCCAATCGCACAAAGAAGGTAAAAAATGACCACCACAATGGTCACCTGGTACGCAAGCAAACATATTATCACTATTATAGCGAACAATAAAACCTTTTTAAAAAACAACCCTTTTACGCGGGTTTAAGTGTTAATATTATCCGACAGGAGTATATTTTTGGGAAAAAATTCTGTGTTCGACACGATAGGATTT